AAACGACCGTTTGATATTATTCGGTCGCGAGGCAACGAATTCGAATTTAGCAACGCGGTGTCATTGCGTAAATCTCGTGCTTAATTACGGCTTGTTCTAAGCTCAATTTCATCAAAACAGAGTAAATAACACCACAGATAACTTGATTATTACCATCCCATACGGTATTTTCAACTTTTCTATCAATAATCTGCAAGACAGCAGCACAAGTCTTTGAAGCGACCGTTGGATATTATTCGGTTGCTACGTAACTATTTTAAATTCGGCAACGCGCTTTCACTGCGTATATCCCGTGCTCATTTACGGCTTGGTGTACGCTCTATCTCGTCAAAACAGCGTAAACACCATAACAAATAACTGGAAGCTGTTTTCCTCCAAGCGCTGCATTGAGAGATTCCAGATCAAAACTCGCATACCTAATTACGCATTCAAAAGCGCAATTCGTCTGTACTTACGACCTGTCGATCAACCTCACGTAGGGGAATTCCCCGAGATATTTAAACCTACTTGTGCGAACGTTCGACTATTTGCACTCGATTACGTACGTTCTTTAACGATTCTCTGACAGTCTATGACTATCGGCTCTTTCTCAACGGCAACCTCAATTTCGACACCCGACAACCGCCAGTAGTTTTGAGGGAATAACTAACTTTCAACACCGCATATAGACTAATAGCAATGCGCTGTGTGTACTGCAACGCCGATTTTCGGACGCGGTCTGAACTGAAGGAGCACTGGCAGAACACACACCACAAAGCACAAACAAATACACCGGCAAACCAGTGCACGCTCGTTTTCCAAACGGACTGCACCTCCCAAGATCTCCGCTGCCCGCACTGGGGCTGTAAATTTATCAGCAAACGTGTCAACACGACCAGACACCTAGCGAAACACTTTACCAAGCATCATAAACGAAGTGAGCTGGTCATACAGTATCACTGTGAGCAATGTAGAGTATTTATGGATCCTGCCGAACGTTTTGCCCACAGGACAGCACATACTACTGCCTCGCAGCCTGGACAAGTGTTTAGCCCACCGATCCCTATCATTGATCCTACAACAGATGAGCTATCCCATGTGGCCAGCCCAGACCAGTCACTGACATGTGTCCGACGAACACAGTCTGCTAAAATGCCATCACTTTAGCCCATGAAGCTTGACATTAAGCTCCTCTCCCGCATGAATCACTCCGCCTAACCTCACCAAAGAAAACTTCCGAGCCTTTGGCGCCACATCAACTTCATCACTCACCACTGAACCCATTGGCTACCCCATTCGCACCCTCGTTATCGCCTACACAACCACCTGTGTCGAGTCCTCCACTATCGTTCTCATCACCTCATTGGATCACGTTAGACCCTCCTACATCGCAGGACGATAGACTTTCCATACATGGAGGATCTCCGCCAGACAATCGTAGCCGTACTCCTGACATCATCCATCAGCCATCACCTATCGTCCCATCTCAATTTACCATACCCACACAATCTCCAACCCTCTACTCCAATATTGGAAACACAACTCAGGTCCATCATCCATCGACATCGATCACATCATCAGAGAAATCGCTCTCGCCGCCATTCATTACAAACAACCCATCCCCACAGCTCACTCCTTAAACGACAAGCACATCCCAACAGCTCTCCAACGTTAGGCGTACAATCTTAGTGAATATTCAACCCAAACTTCGACAACCTCCGGGCATACTAAGGGATGAGCAGACCTCTCTAACATCAATTTCACCACCACAGCCTCTAGCGACCCCACACTGGTAAATACTCACCACCAAATCCCCAATGAACGTCGCGTTGTTAGAAGTTGCCCCCAATTCCGCGTCTCACACCAAACACACCCTTTTAACCACCACTCTTCAACCAATCTCTCTCCATCCCTCACTGTTCCTCCGCGACGCCACGCCGCAAGTCACACACCGTCATACACATCAACGGAACAACGATCCCATCGAAGGGAGAACACCCTGAATGCAGAGACGGACCTGAGCCTGACGGCGGAGAACTCGAACCTACGGAAATGGAGGATATAAGTTGCGCACAACCACAACCACCGCGTCCACCTGATATCGTCCCACAATCCACCCACGAACATCAGCAGGACGATGACACGCTAGGAGAGTCGGATGAGGAGACTCAGGAAGACGAGTACCGGCAAAAGCTAGAGGAATTCCGCCAAACGTGGCACCAGCTTCACAGAGGAAAGCAGCTGGGAAGAGTTTTGCACTCCTGCGCCTTTGCATCCGACCACGAGAGACCTGGCCATTCAACTGTCCAAACCTGCAACCACACGACCACACAACAACACCTCGGAGACAAAAACCACCGCAAAACCGCCACCACGACGGACTTCCATCGGCAGGGGCATCCCAAACAGTAAACGGTTCAATGCCCTGGAAGCACGAAGAATACAAGGTCTGTACAAACACTCAAAGAAACGTGCAAGATTCTAGACAACAATTCCATATCATACAGTGGCACGTTACAAGATGCGCACACATTTTTCACCACAAGCTTTGCAGAAAAACACAGTACAAACTTTGGGCTTACGGAAATGCTGCAGAAATACGTCCCTTCTGCCACGGAAGATCGTGAAAGCGAAGCACTATATGATACTATCACACAGCACGAAATCGCAGCGAAGCTTCGCTCAGCTGCCAACACTGCCCCTGGAGCAGACCGGGTGGAGTATGCACATCTGAAGAGGATCGACCCGACGGGGAAAATCCTCGCGTGCATATTCCAGCGTTGCAGGCTACAAAAAGATGTCCCTCCGCTCTGGAAAACCTCCCGGACCGTCCTCATACACAAAAAGGGTGACAGAACGAACCCGAGTAACTTCCGACCGATTGCCCTCATGTCTTGCATCTACAAACTCCTTATGGGTGTTCTCGCAAGGCGGCTGACAAAATGGGCCATCAATACAGGCCTCCTCTCCGATGAACAGAAAAGTGGTCGACCAAGTGAGGGATGCTACGAGCATACCTACGTGATGAAGTCTTTGTTTGGCCAGGCACGAATGTCGAAGAAGAAATTAAACATCGCCTGGCTGGACCTCAGAAACGCATTTGGCCATTAAACATACCCTGGAACATATGGGTGTTCCTGACGATATGATCCAGCTCATTGGCAATGTCTACACCAACGCCACTACAGAGATCCTAACTGACGACGGTCCCACGGATCCCATCCACATCGAATCAGGAGTCAAGCAGGGCTGCCCGATGAGCCCCATTGTTTTCAACCTGTGCATTGAGCTAATCATGCGCATGGTTAAAGCTGCAGCGACAACGCTTAAATCCGGTGCATGCAATCACTTTGGCACAGAGATATCCTGTTTGGCCGATGACCTCATCTTGATGGCTCGCAGTGGTGAGGCATTGAGAGAGCTCCTATTTGCCGCAGGTGAGGCCGCATTCATCCTCGGTCTACAATTTCGACCCGACAAGTGTGCCACACTCACCCTAACATCACCAAGGAATTGTGCCACTTTCGTCGACCCACAGGACTACACCATACAAGGGGAACACATTCCGGCACTATCACAGGAGGAATCATATAGGTACCTCAGGGTTCCTATCGGACTCATCCACAACATCGATGACCTCCCTGGCATAGTCCCCAAACTCATCCACCACATTCACCTCATCACAAATTCATTACTTGCCCCATGGCAAAAACTGGACGCCTTGCGTACATTCATCCAACCCTGCCTGACCTATGCCATGAGAGCAGGAAACCCGTTGAAACAATCCCTGGATGAATTCAAGCGCGTATTACTATCGGCCCTGAAAAAATTTGCTGCCTGCCACAAAGAGCTTCTCAGGCCTACTTCTTCTCTCACAAGAAGGCTGGAGGCCTCTCGATGTTCGACCCACGAATGGAGTGCGACGTGCAAGCCATTGTACAAGGCATCCGCATTCTATCGTCAACTGATGCTAAGGTCCGAGCAATGGCTAAGCACGAACTGAAGTATATCGTCAGAAGATCGACACAGCGTGAACCCACAGCCCACCTCATTACCACATATCTGTCGGGCACTAAAGACCCCGCACGGAGAAACTCTACTACACATACTCCTCTTTATGGTCCAGAGTACGCCAAGCATGCCGACGCCTATCCATAACCTTTACGTACTCTGACAATGAAGCCCCCACAATCTCAGCCGACGAGTCCCCCCCCATCAAATCAGAAAGAGCAACATACTTCATGCACCAACTGGTTCTGGATCGCTGGTCAAAAGAACTACTCAACGCCAAGGACCAGGGCAAAGTAGCACGTTGTCTTGCAGAAGAGCAATATGGGAACGGCTCAGCTTGGCATTGCACGGGCCTTAACATCCGCTTCAAAGATTGGAGGTTCATCCATTGAGCTCGCTTAAACCTACTACCTTTGAACGCAAACAAAGCAAGGTACTCAAACACAGACCCCACTTGCCGACACTGCACACAACCGGAGACCCTCCCACACGTTGTTTGTCACTGTAGACCCCACATGGTGCAAATCCGATCATGACACAACGTTATTGTCAACAGACTGACAAACGCAGTACGCTTTGGCAAGATCACCACTGACAGGACGATCAAGGGCTCGAACCTTAACCTCCAGACATCGTTGTTGAAGAAGATCAGCGCGTGTTTATAATTGATGTAACGTGCCCCTTCGACAACGACGACGACGCATTATCAGTAGCTGCCCTCGCCAAGGTCAACAAATACCTGCCATTGAAGCACTACATTGAATCAACAGGGAAAAAATGTGAAATACTACCCTTTGTTATTGGTGCTCTGGGCTCATGGTACAAACCGAACGAAATTGTCCTAACCAACTTAGGAATGTCAAGAAGATACAAAACCCTCTTCAGGAAGTTATGCTGTACGGACGCCATTCAAGGCTCAAACTGCACATCTCTACTGCACAGTCGTATTAAATTATGCCAGCAAGTAAAACACGGTTACCTTTTGCAATACGTTGAACTTGACTCTTCCACTGCAAGAAATCAACGTGGTTCGGAGAGAGATTTACGCCAGAAACCATTTCATCAAGTTCTTTCCTTGTATTTTCTTGAGCTTCTATATACTAAAAAGAAAATAACTTATCAGGATGACGGCTGTTAGTAGCGTTATTTGGCCGCATGTACAAAATAGTTTTTGAGAAGCAACCTTTGTATATCTCTTGCAGAGGGAGCTGGACAGATCACATATTTTCCGTTTATTCCACGCAAGAGCATGTTCAGTTATGAGTTCTTCTCTTGCTAAAATTGTCAAAAAAGCACATACATAGCATGACACATCAATTGAAAACCATAAAAAATGTTCCAGTAACTTGAGACCAACGTGGACGATAGCTACGTTATATGGATAATCGTTCTATCCAACAAATAAAGTCTACAATATAATTAAACATATTTTATAAACTTATTTTAAGTAACACTTACACTCGGGTAACATGTACTTTGTAGTGTTGGCCAGTCTCGAAAGGTAACTATTAATCTGCTCAACTTCCTCTCCTGTGGAATATGCAGAACCTTTTGCCACCGTCCTCCCACAATACCTTAAAATAAGACGAGTTTGGAAATTCTTGTTTATAAGAAATTCATTAATGTCTGAGTAGACAATACTGAGAGTGAACATCGATATACGTATAAGTACACAGCCAGCATTCATTATAAAAACACATGATACCAGTGTACCTGGCATGTCCAATTATGTGCTTTGGCATGCATCACAGATAAAGCAGGCTTTATTTCGTGAGCATTTGACTCATCCGACTTTGATGCCTTTCACTGCCCACTTCCAATATTTACATATGATATCTTGCCAAATGTATTTAACATTGTTCGGAATCATTTTGTGAACATGGATGTAATTAGAGTAGCCATAAATCTCTCCGCGAAACATGTTTACAGCCCACTGAGCAATTGCATGCCGGCAACCTGCAATTTCCAGTCCTGTTTCGTCTAGACGACTCTTTCGTTTTCCTTTATTTCCAGCAGCTCGCCAATTACTTTCACCACATTTCCCGTCATCAGAAAAGTTCTGTAACACAAGATTCAAATTCGAACCATGATCGTGGAAAAACGAACATTTATATATTGATTCAGAAAAGGCTAAACTGTCGATTTTATTATTTATTACAATGAATACAATAGCCAAAATGCAAAACCAAAAATAATGAATAAATATCATTATCAAAAGGGTAAGCATTGAGTTATAATGAAAAGAGCTTTACTCATGTAATGGTGTATTGTACTGAACTGTACAAAACATTTCAACATCAGTGCAAAGCATGACCTCCAAATTACCCGAACTTGGGGAGTGGAATAAACCTTTCTAATATGCTCTGAAACATGTTCATTCGAAGAAATAAAAAGATCTCCATAGTAAGACTGACTTTGTTCTCTATAAAAGAGAGAAAACAAGAGTTTACATTATGAAAGGCTCCTTAGAATGTGTAAAAATTACAGAGTTTGACATAATACCTTCCTGAATGTTTATATCGGTATAACTTCATGTTGCCATCTACATGACAGGAGTGTTGGTTGGATGAGCAACTAGGACAAAACATCCACTCTTTTCCCTGGGCTTTTCCACCTCATAATTAAAATATTTCCATTCTCGAAAGGCTTTTGTGAACGTTCGTGGATTTATTGATCCAAACTAAAAATTGAAAGAAAGTAGAAATCACATAGAAAAAAATTGTAGACTTTTGCCACACATACATATACATTTTTCCATGAATTTGGATGTTTTCCATAACACTAGTGACAATGGTAATTGCTTTACACAAAAAAAACTATGTATAATGCTGAGAGTTTACACTTAGTAATGTGGCATACACACAAAGTATTTATGTACGCACCCTTCCTTTTGAAACACTTATGTCTTCCAATGATCTAATAAAACTGGACTCAGAACAACCTGGCATTCTCTTTTGCATTGTGTTCCACAGCAGAAGTAAATCCTGTGAAAATAACACATTTAAAGACTTTGGATTTGCTGGCCAGTAGCCATTACCAAGAATATCTGCAAGTGTCGGCATCAAGAATGCTGAACAAGAAACACACTTGAATGATGTACTGTTTATGTCAAAGCGACCTAACAATAGAAAAAGATTAATAAACATGATAACTAAAAAGACATTATGTACATAGGATGGCAGTTTACTGTATACATGTAACTATTACAGTATGTAAGAAGAATACTACAGTAAATTAATGAGTAAATTATATAGTAGTCCTTCCCAACACTGATGAAGAAGGAAATCAAAAATGTTTAAAGATTAATGTCAACAGTTGTTGGTTCAATAAGATTACATTTTATTGGAGCAAACACAAAATTTTGCATGTTCAACATTGCAAGTATTAAATACTTTGTACATTACCTTGTGTTGTACAAATAGTCAGTATGTCCTTACTGGGCACGGAGTGAAAGGTTGATTTTCTAGAGCAGCCATGACAAAACTTTTGGACAGGATGCAAAGAAACATAGCAATCTAAGAAACAAATATAATAAATTTTCATCATTAGACTGGGAGATAAAACCTTTTTTTGTATAAATAATAGAATTATATCACCCCAAATTATATACCTATAAGTAGCTACATATGTAGGTTGATTTTGACATCAGTTAGCATAGTGCATATGACATTTAACATACTTTTACCATATTTACATGACATACCAACTTCAATTATTTGTCCATTTTATCCAATGAATGTGATGGCTGAAGTGGTCTGAAATGATTACCCATCCACCCATATCTATCATGGAATGGCTTTCTTTCATGAATTTTCCTATCACATTCAACACAGACTGGCCAGTTACTACCACACTGATGACACTTTATCAAGCCTGGAGATTCCCACAATTGAAGCATGGTGTGCCTTTATCAACTGATTCACATTGGATCAAGGTTTCGAATATGGTAGATCTATTATTTTCCCAAAGAGAATGAAGCTCTTCCATGCGATCAGACCATTTCTTGGCATCCTCTTTCTCTGAAGCCAAAAGTCCTCTGTATTCAAATATAAGATTCTCTAGCTCTACAAAACAATAATGACTTATATTATAAAAATTTAACCAGTAAAGAAATTAAAATTGTTAGCTGAGTGGGCTTGTTGTGGACAATTTCTGATTAAATGAGACGGTATATGATCTAAGACAATTTCAAATAAAGGTGCTCAATATCAAAGTGGATAGAGCTACATACATGCATTTCAACAAATTATTGCAATTATTGATTTCAAATGCAATTATTAGTTTTACCAAAAGCATTTCGAGCATGAGCAATCATTAGACAAATCTATTACATTTAACTTAATATTATACATATACATTGATGCTTACCAATATCAACGTCTGTTTGCTTGTGCTCATCATTTACTTGAAAGTCATCAGCCACAGAGCAATCAAACTGCTGGTTATCTAATATAAATTTACAATGCAATTTCTTATGTAGTACCTAACTTAAACAACATTGACCTGTAACAGTTTTAGGTACAACCATGCATGGTAATGTAATGACAGTTTACTCAGTTGTCTTTCTGCTTACCCATAAGAAACTAAATAGTCAAATCTGCTAAGGACACTGGACAAAATTGTTTGAGCCATATATGATTTAAAGCAGCAAAATTGTACAGTCAATATTTCAAGTACAAAATTTCATAGCATGATGTAGTTACACATGCATACTACATATTATTTAGCATAAAATTGCAAACAAGAACAACAATCTCAACATACTACTGAAGATAGTAAATTTTGATATAAATACTAAATATTAACATTACCATTTTGCTTAATTGATCCTTGACGGCAGCGGTAAGGCGTGTGAGTCAACCTCTTACAACCAACTTGCACTAAGCGAAAATGAGAAGGCTTTTTCCCCTGACATTTTGATCCTTTTTCTTTCGCCAACAAGGCTAAACCATCATTCAGAACTTTCTCCAGAGTCTCGGATTTCTTCTTTTTACACGCTGTATATCAAGGTAGAATAAATAATAGCTTAATTGTAGTTAAAATTTGCCTAATTTAATACACAATGATTCCATTCCTTTTGAACAGCAATATTTATAATATGGTGAATTCTTACGTTTTGGTCGTTTTTCCGCCATGTTAACTTTTCGCGGGTGTGCAAAACGTATTGAATTTGGATAGTTATGGAGTTTCCCTTGGATTGATGATTATTATCTATTTAAGCCGTTTTGTCAATTGATGCTATTCATCTATTTAAGCTTGAGACTGTGTTGGGTAGACCTGATCATACAAAGGGGCAATGTCCTGAGCGAAGATGTTTCATATGTCACGAGAAAGGACATGAACAATCCGAATGCCCACACTATGAAAAATCTTTTCGTAGCTTGAACGACACCAACAACGAGATGACCAACGGGAAACACGACAATCATGTTGAACCACAGGAGGAAGACGAAACGATGAGCGAAACGGAGACTACCACAAGAGAATACGAATGGGGTGGGGCCTTTAATAAAGAATATGACGAAGAAGAAGCCTCCAACTGGGGAGAAACCAACCCAGATGATGTACAAACAAACGAGACACAAAAAAATAATGACAAAGAACAAGAGAACTAAGATCCAACTGAAGACGAACAACCCATGATGAACGAAACATCAACTGACAAAGAGCAAAATACGAATGAAGAACAAACCAAGACCAACGAACCGAAAGCACCGGACGATTGCCCACAAATGAAACTGAAAACCGGTGAAACCCCTGATGGAGCTACAGAGTTGACCAATCACCCTCCTCTAAAAGACGGAAGAAAAAGAAACCTAAACCCTCCAGGGAGGACGTAGTTGATTAGTTTGCAACTAATTTCACAATGGCAGACATAAAGATAATGACACTAAACGTCAATGGAATATCAGACTTACACAAAAGAACTAAAATTTTTGACTTTTTGGCGAATAGAAGAGCCGACATATACTTACTACAAGAAACACATTTGAACAAGGAAGAAGAAGGGGATATATGGACAAGACAATGGAAAGGGAAAACAGCTCTGAACCCAAGGACAAATTATAGCAGAGGGGTGGGAATTTTACTTCATCTGCTCTTTCATGGGGAAATAAAAGAAACCAAACAGGACAATGAGGGACGGATCATATGCACAAAAATACAGTGGGAGAATCAGGAGATAAACATCATGAATGTATATGCACCAAATCTGATTGGGGAAAGAAGAGAATTCTTTAAAACGCTACACGCATATAAGACGGGTCATTTAAACTTTATACTGGGTGGAGACTTTAACTGTGTGGAAAATCCAGAGATAGACAGGATGGGGGAATCCCAATGGAGGCACAGCAGGAAGCTGTGAGCTGAAAAGTTTTACATCAATAAACGACCTAAATGATTGTTGGAGGACAAAAAACCCAAATAAAAGAATTTTCACGTGGCATACGGCCGACCTCTCAAGAGGGAGTAGACTAGATAGATGGTACACTCATGATAACGTTTACCGAGACACATCTTACATCGCTTTCCCTTTTTCGGACCACACTGCTGTTGTCCTAAAAGCTAAAATACCTGAAGATAATCCCAGAGGAAAAGGTATATGGAAATTTAATAACAATCTACTAACAGACAACAATTATTGCAACACAATACGGAGTATATTACGGCTCTCTCATAAAGATAATACTGACACATTACTAGAATGGTGGGACCAACTGAAAAATACTATAAGAGATTTCACGAAACAATATACTACGAAGAAAATGGCAGCAACAAAGAGAGAAGAAAAGAAACTACAGTCTAGACTAAACGATCTACAGACAGCATACGACAAAAATCTGAATTTGATTAATGACACGAAGAAACGACTAGAAAACATCGCCAGAGAAAGAATCGTAGGGATAAAGATACGTAGTAGGGTAACATGGACTGAGGAAGGGGAAAAACCAACAAAATTCTTCTTCCAGATGGAAAAGGCTAAACAATCTAAAGCAAATATTACGAAATTAAAGACTGAAGCGGGAGACATCGAAGGTAATGAAAATATACTCGAAGAGGCAAGGAGGTTTTATCAAAAATTATACTCCAAGGAAGACATAGACATTGAAGAACAGAATAGACTACTGAGGAATATCGAGAGACAACTACACCATAATCTGAGAGAGAACTGTGAAGAACCGGTTACGCAGGATGAACTCACGAGAGCAATAGGAAAGATGCACAGAAATAAAGCACCGGGATCCGATGGCCTCACCATCGAATTCTATGTTCACTTCTGGGACTCTGGGACATCATAGCAAGCGACCTAGTAGAAATTTTCAACAGTTGTTATCTTCAAGAGGCAATGTCAACAACACAACGCCTAGCGATATTAAGACTACTTTACAAGAAAGGGGAAAGAACAGATCTGAAAAATTGAAAAATCAGATCAAATATACCTCAAAAGAGGGGTCAGACAAGGCTGTCCTCTAACTCCACTGCTCTATACCATCGTCATAGAGGCACTCCTTACATCTATAAGACAAGATGACAGAAATAATGGCTTCCACATACCAGGAAGTAACAACAAATCTAAAATAACAGCATATGCCGACAACACGACATTAACACTGTCTGATGACCCGTCAGTTATACGATCTTTTGAACACATAAAAATATTCAAAGAACCACCCCCAACATGAACTAGTAGTCTCCCACCTCTGCAGTCTTTGTAACATGTACATTGACCCAAGGAATCCCACCAACACATGCAAGCCCATCGACACTCCCACAAACAGCAATCCCCTTTCACTCCACCTCAACCTACCATCGATCCCATCACACAAAGACTACTGCTCTCCACATCACCACCGAGAATTCCACCACTACTACAGTCGAACCCTCACCACCCAGTACGTACTCCGCCACAGTCATCGCCGATGCCAACCATCAGGACCTCTGCTGCCCCATGAAGGCTGTACATTCCACGTCGCTTGTGCTCCGGACCCCACAACTCTCAAAACTCACTTCCACACCACGCACCCCAATCAATCCTTCTCCCTCACGAACTACTGCCAATCCTGTAACGGCTATGTATGTGAGGAAGACTATCCATCACACCTGCAGAGCCACCAACCGAAGCCTGAGAACAACCATTCCCACTTCCTCCACTCTTTCTCACACCTGGCAGCCCCATCCCTGGCTCAACAAGTCCGACCGCTCTGGAAACCTGCAATTCGAACCAAATCTCACCACCGACCCACTCAAGAACACCCACTCTCACCAACCAACAAACCTCACCCCAAGTTGACCCATCTCCCATGCCGGCCCCCTCCACCGCCTCAACCCCATCAATATTCACCCCACCACTCTCATCGCCACCGCTGTTCTCTGCCCAATCCCCAGAACACAGCCTCTCCACGCAAGTCGCCTCACAGTTACCACCATCAGACAAAATACAACTGACTCCTGACCAAACTATTCCACCCATCTCAGACGACACCTCACATCCCATTAACTCCATACCAACTCACCACCACCGCAAATCCTGGATGAACCCGTACCTGCTCCGGAGATCCCACCAATAACTTCACCCCACGTTCCCTCATCCATGGCATCACGCACCACACGACCAACGACAAGCACACCAGCAACCATCACGACCAACGCAAATCCATACTCGCATCCATCAACACCAAAATCTCCCACCTACGTGAACTCATCGCAGAGGACAACCCACAATCTCCACCATCATCCGCCGCTGACACAACCATGAACACCTCGCGTGTAGTGGCCAACGTAGACAACTCGCCATCACCATCCGCCTGCAGCACAGAGTCTTCACCTAGCTTGTCTCTTGGGGACAAATGTGCTGTTACTGCTCTAATAATGAAATTCAATGCAAAAATCACATTGTGGTTACACGATCCCTGTCATTGCAAGGTCGAACGCTCTTGGCCAACACGTTGGGGCTTAGTATATTCTGGTATCAAGCGACCATCTTTGATATGCCAAAGACAGTTGTACATGCTTTTAACAAAATTTTATTCCCATTCATCTGGAAAAAAAGTAAAGAACCTATAGCGCGCAGCCCTGCTGTTGCTCCTCGTCTTCGGGGGGTTTGGGTGTGGTGCATGTCGGCACAAAAATCTTGTCACTGGGAGCAATTTGGCTGCAACGTCTCTTGCTTTCGTTACACACTATTCCCTGGCCTTCTTTTCTGTCTTTCCATATCTGTCAAATATTTAAACAAGATGTGGACACCTTCTTTGCTCCCGAGTACCATTCCTGCCTACCTATCCAAGAGAATGCCCAAATTTTACCAATCCATGGTACACACGTGGATACAACTTAAAGGACGACATGAAGATAACCTTTGGGTTATTGGAAATTCCAATCGTTCACCAATCCTGATAGCTGATCTTACAGCTAGATGTACTTATACTATATTAATAGAAAGTGCATTATTACCACATAAAGCGATTGAAAAATTTGCAGCCATGCAAATGAATGTCCACTGGCCATATGTGTGGCGCTCTCTTCGGTTAAGGCGATTCATGCGATCGGTAGCTGATACCAACTACTATAATTTTCATGGCCACTTGGCCACCGCAGATCGTCTACTTCATTTCGTAATGAAGGTAGACGAGAAATGCTTTTGTAGAGAGCAGGAAACTGCCGTCCATCTGTTCTGCCATTGTCCTGTTGCCACTACCGTTTGGGACTGGATTACCCCTCTTCTTGTTTCCCTGGACCTAACCACCCCACTTACCATCTCCATCATCCTCTTCGGATTTCCGGAGGCAAAGAAGACCACTGCAGCAGTCAATGCCTTATTGGGCATTCTCCGCCACCATCTATGGCTTCACCGCAATCAATGCAGGTTTGACCGTCTCTCTCTCGATGCCTCTTCGGTTTTGCGGATGGTGAAGTCAACCTTCTGATTTGCTGTAAAATTGGAACATCGCCACTTCCTTCTGTCGAAGTTCCAAGATGAGTGGTTGATTCGTGATTTGGTTGGTACTATCGCCGAAGACAATACAGTATCCTTTTCTAAGGATTTCATGTCTTGAATGTTAGTAATTTGTGGGACGGGTTGTACTGCCGGATAGCCCATTCGTCGTAGGTCGTGTAGATCGTGAAAGGGCAGCACGCTGTCCTTTACAATATCTTGCCTCTTGATTTTCGTTTGTTTTGTCAAAGTTCTGGTGTATTTGTGCCAGAGCTTAGTATCGTCGAGAGATCCTTTTTCTCTCCATTTTTGTACTCTTGGTTTTGTCCGCGGGGGAGAGGTTCACAACCTCTGTTGATCTTCGTCGCTTGTAGCGGCCTCCCTGAGTGTACCGGTCTTGCATGCATAGGTTCGTCATCATTTCACATCCCGACTTTGTAACCTAACCGGTCCCCACCCAAAACAAGATCAAGTGTAGTATCTGTTCTTATCAGCTTAATAGGCAGTATACTGCAAATGATTACTCAACGTTGATTGGTGCGCTGGAAAGGTAATTTGCTAATTAATTGGATTCAACTCATTAAAGTTAGTGATTTGATTTTGATTTGGATTGGATTTGTTTTTACGTCACGGAACTGGATCAGACTTGGATTTGACTTTGGACTAACCTTAGGAATTATTGCATTTGGATACATTTGGATTTATATACGAAGCGATAAGGAAGTTTGACTTTCTGACCGGCATTCCCCTATATCACTTGATTGGGACCATATATTGCGATTCATAACACCCATTGTAATCGGGTCTAGCATTCACCACGAATACTGCGTGTGAGTTTTTCTATCATAACTATTGCTCAAAGCCGAGATTTGGCCGGCCAACTTTCTTAGCACCATACCGGACATTTTGTCGAAGCTTCGTTACGTGTTTTGCAGAAACGTAATCATTGATTATTAACATCCCATACGGAATTTTAAGCACTTCTGACGAATAATTCACGAGAAATCAACACAAGTTTTGAAGCGACCGTTGGATATTATTCGGTCGCTACGCAACGAATTCAAATTTGGCAACGTGGTGAAATTGCGTATATCCCGCGCTTATGTACGGCTTCTTCTACCCTCTATTTCATCAATACAGAGTAAATACCACTACTAATAACTGGAAACTGTTATACTCCACAGAAACGCTGCACTGTAGTGATCCCAGATTAGATTCCTAGACCTAATTACGCATTCAGAAGCGTAATTCGTTTGCATTCACGACCTGTCAATCAACTTCACGTAAGGGAAATCCCCGAGAACTATAAACCTACTTGTGCGATTGTTCGAATATTTGAAATCAATTACGTGCGTTCTTTGCCGATTCTTAGACATTATACGACCACCGGTTATTTCCCACAACGGTAACTTCAAGTACGCTACCCTGACAATCGCTCATTAGTTTTGAGGGAATAACTAAATTTCAGAACTGCGTATACAGACAAATAATGCGTTGTGTGTACTGCAATGCCGATTTTCGGAGACGGTCCGAATTGAAAGATCACTGGAAGAACACACACCACAAAGCACAAATAAATACCCAGGCTAATCAGTGCACGCTTGTTTTCGAAACGGACTGCACCTCTCAAGATTCCAATAATTGACCCTGCAACAGATGAACTATCCCTTGTAGCAAGCCCAGACCAATCACTAACATATGACCGGCACGAACATTGTCTGCTGACATCGCCATCGCTATCACCCATGAAGATTGACATAAACCTGTCCACGCACGAATCACTCCGTCTTACCTAACCGAAGAAACCCTCCGAGCCTATGGCAAAACGTCAAATCGATCACTCATCATTAAACCCATTGGCTAGCCCATTCACACCATCAACATTGCCTACACAACCACCTGTATTGAGTCCCCCACGGCTATCGTTCTCATCACCCGATTGGTTTCCAGTTATGCAAGATGATAGACTTTCCATACATGGAGGATCCCACCAGACAATCGCAGCGATACTCCTGACACCATTCACCAGCCATCACCTCTCGTCCCATCTCAATTCACTATACCCATACAATCACCAACCTCTACTCCAACACCGGAAACACACCTCATGTCCACCAACAAGCGGCATCAACCACATCATCAGAGAAATCGCTCTCGCCGCAATCCATCACACACAACCCATCTCCACAGCTCACTACCCAACAATAACAATATCTCAGCAGCTTTTCAACGACAGGCGCACGATCTTGGAGAACATACAACCCAAACTCGCTAACCTCCGTCGCATGCTAAGAGATGAACAGACCTCTCCGACAAAGCCAATTTCACCACCACAGCCTTTAGCAATTATATATTTCACCGTCAAACTCGCCATCACATGCTTCTAATAGTACATCTTCATTAGATAACCCTTTACCTGCAGTAATGGCGTTTGGACGATACGTTGAACTCAACAATACTTCTTCCACCACCATGGACTCTCGTGCACCAATAGAAGTTGCCCCTCCAGTACCAATCACACAGCAAACAAAACCACACTACAAGCGAGACATACATGGCTCACAAGACAGTCTTTACCACCTCACACCCATTTTGAGGGAGTATCGTAAAGTGTGCAAGCTACTACAAGGAGCAGAGTCTCGCAATGCACCAGCATCTGAGCAAGACGAGATTTATACTACAGAATGCAAAACACTGGAATGATCCGAAGAGGCTGATTTACATTGTACATCATCACCACCAGACTCACCATCTTCCATCAACGCAAACAATCTCTCTCCGGACCAAATTCAATGTGCTCAACCTCTTCCTCCACGTCCACCACGCACCATAACACCGTACAATAAAGATCCATCAATATCTGATGAAGGAATACCGGATGAAAACCTTCCGAATGATGCTGACGTGAAGACTCTAGAAGAATTTTGACAACGATGGCACGACTGTTTTTCTGAAGAGAATAGCTGGACGGAGTTTTGCGATCTATGTACATCGTTCGCAATTGAAACCCGTGACCTTGCCGTCCTTCTGGCTAAATCTCTGACAAATCGAACAAAAGTGAACACTACTTCCAAAAACACGAACAACCAGCTACCTCCTCGTCGTCCCCCTATTGGGAAGGGAATCCCACACAAAAATAGATTTGACCCATCTGCAGCTAGAAGAATTCAAGGTCTGTATAGACACCCCAAAAAGAGAGCAGCACGTAAAATCATATGTAACAATTCTGTGGCATATTCTGGCTCCATTGAAGAAGCACATACATTTGCTGACAGCTTCGACGAGAAATACTGCATAGAGAATGCTGTTTGTGAAATGCTTGAGAAACATGTCCCTAAAGCCATAGATTATAGAGAGGGTGACGAATTGTGTAGCCCATTATCACAGTTTGAGATCGCACAAAAGCTGCGGTCGGCTGCAAACACGGCCCCTGGAGCTGATCGTGTTGAATATGGTCACCTAAAACGAATAGACCCATCGGGTAAAATACTGTAATTAATATTCAACCAATGTAGGCATCAGAAAGACGTCCCTCCTTTGTGGAAAACGTCAAAGACGGTCCTGATTTACAAGAAAGGTGATGAGTCTGATGTCAGTAACTTTCGACCCATAGCTCTGATGTCATGCATCTATAAATTGTTCATGGGAGTACTGGCTAAAAGGTTGACTGAATGGGCCATCAATAACGAAATCCTCTCCCAACAACAAAAGAGTGCTAGGCCAAGTGAGGGATGCTACGAGCACACTTACATCATGAAATCACTTGTTGGTCAGGCTAGAATGAACAAGAAAAAGCTAAATATCGCCTGGCTGGATTTGAGGAATGCTTTTGGCAGTATCACTCACACGGTCATTAAACACACTCTTTCACACATAGGAGTACCTGAGGATATGGTGCACTTATGTGAAAATGTTTACACTGGAGCCAAGACCCAAATTCTAACCCCGCAAGGTCTCACTGATGAAATCCACATTTGTTCCGAGGTGAAACAGGGATGCCCAATGAGCCCTATAAGCAGCTGAAACAGCTAATGTTCTGGGTCTGAGTTTCCGTCCAGATAAATGTGCTATGCTAACGCTGACATCCACAAAACAATGGGCCACATTTGTAGATCCACAAGACTATATCATCCAAGGGGAACATATCCCTTCCCTATCTCAGGAAAAATCGTATAGATATCTCAGTGTCCCCATTGGTCTCATTCACAATGTCGATGATCTACCCAGCATAGTCCCAAAGCTTATCCGTAACATAAATATCATACAAGACTCCATTCTCGCCTCGTGGCAAAAGATGGATGCTTTGAGAACATTCATCCAACCTTGTTTAACATACGCCCTACGCGCGGGTAACACATTAAAACAATCATTGGATGGATGAGTATAAAAGAACACTGGTTGCAGCAATGAAAGAGATCTGCTGTCTGCCCCAAAGAGCATCACAATCTTACTTTTTCTCTCACAAAAGGGTAGGAGGATTAGCTATGTTCGATCCATGCACCGAATGTGACATCCAAGCTATCGTCCAAGGTGTGCGTATGCTGTCCTCTACTGACCCTAATGTGAAAGGAATGGCTAAACAAGAACTCCAATACATTGTGAGATGCTCCACGCAACAACAACCAACAGCAGACCTTATATCCACCAATCTGTCAAGTATCAAAGATAGTCGCACTGACCATTTGTACTACTCATACTCCTCACTATGGTCACGCGTACAACAAGCTTGCCGCCACCTTCAGGTGTTGTTAACTACATGGATAATGATGCACCAACCATCTCTGCTGATGATTCCCCTGAGATCAAATCCGAGCATGTCAGGTACTTCCTACATCAGTTGGTTCTTGACAGATGCTCCAAGGATCTGCTAAATAACCAAGATCAAGGTAAAGTTGCGAGATGCTTGGCTGATGACCAATTCGCTAATGGATCCACGTGGCACTGCACTGGGCTGAATATAAGATTCAAAGACTGTAGGTTCATTCATAGAGCGAGACTTAATCTTCTTCCTGTAAATGCCCTTAAATCTTGTCTTTCGAACACTGATCCAACGTGCCGCCACTCTGTCCAGCCGGAAACGCTACCACACGTCATCTGCCACTGCAGACCACACATGGTACAAATTAGATCTAGACATAATGCCATAGTGGACAGACTGACGAACGCTGTTAGATTTGGAACAGTCACTACATATAGAACTATCGCAAATTCTGATCTTAACCTTCGGCCTGACATTGTCATTGAAGAGGACAACACGGGAATAATTATAGATGTAACCTGCCCCTTTGACAACGATGAAGACGCCCTATCAGTTGCAGCTCAGAAAAAAATCAACAAATACCAACCGCTGAAAGAGTTTGTTCTATCTACGGGCAAAAAATGCGATGTACTACCCTTTGTCGTCGGGGCACTCGGTTCTTGGTATAAGCAAAATGAACTTGTGATGAACAAACTTGGTATGACTAGAAGATACAAGTCCTTATTCCGTAAGCTGTGTTGTACTGATGCCACACAAGGATCTAACAACGTTTATCGCCTACACCTTGGTTGTGACGATTATGTACAAGAGGAAAATTAACTCTTTCAATATATACCTAAATATATACTTTTCTCTTAGATCTACTATCTTTACATATATACACATAATTTAGACTCATCTATACAATATTTACATCTTCGAGAAATGAACGAATACTTGCAAAACTAATATGAACAATTTAATATTTATTAGTAAATAATAACAAAAGTAACAGTCCGTTATAACATTTACTATGCTGATGATGTTTATCGTTTTGTTAGCATTAAATTTGATGTATAACTTGTGTAAATAGTTAGGGGCATCCGATCGGTCCCATCTTTTTTTGGATATTAAACTTGATAAGAATGCTGTTCTTATCAGCTTAATATCTGATATGTCGGGCAATGCCCGACTCTTATATTAAAGTGATTGTTGGATATAGGCCATTGGATTGGAGCTTGCTTCGCCCTGGCCACGGGTTGTCTCGGTGTTGCACTACCTCCGAGTTCGGCCCGAGTTCGACCTCCGAGTTTCTTTTCTCCAAGAATTCTTCTACGATCACTAACACTGACCACCTTTTCCACCATCCACTTTCTTAGAGCTTCGATGAACTCGGGAAACCTCCATTCTTGCCAGTCGTCATCAGTTCTCACAAGATCGCTTCGAATTCCTTCTAGTTTGTCAATTGTCATTCTGACATAGCCTGATACTTCCTTGAGTTTCCCAAGTGTCTCGAGAGATTGTACGCTTGTTATTAGTGTTTCATAAAATGCTTTGGATTTTACCAGGCTTGGTTCCTTAAATGTTGGGCAGGTTGATGATGTTTTGAACATAAGCGTTGATGACTTCGCTGGTTTTGCCGTATTTAGTCGTCAAAATGTTCTTAGCTCGTTCATATCCCTCTGATGTGAATGGTAATCCATCGATACATGACCGCACTTTTGGTTCGAAAAGCTCCTTTAAGTATGAAAATTTGGTTATACTAGGGACATCCGAATTGCCGATTTCAGCATTAAACTGCCCCCAGAATCTAAGGCAGTCCATATGTTGTCCGGTAAACTTGGTAATCACCAGTTTCGGTAATTTTGTAGTCAATTTGGTGGCGCCATTTTTTCCGCTTGTGGACTTTTCTCGATTTTCAGACAAGGCCTTCTCGTGCTTCATGCGACGCTCAAATTTAGTTTGTTCTAGTTTCAAATCTTTTTCGCCCTTAACCCGATCTTGTTCTTGTTTCAACTCCCGTATAGCGTTCTCGAATTCTGCCAGTTTCCCTTCAATTTTCTCCGTCCAGTCTCGTACATTGTCTACGTTTTCGCCGCTCTCAAAGTTTAATTCCTGAATCTGCTCTTTTAAATCGTGTACTTCTTCGGTTTTCCTTTCTAAAGTCTTCCTCTGTCTCCCCATTCCTGCCAAGTCATTTTTCCCCAAGATATTTACTGTTTTCTCATTTGTGAACTTCAGGAATTGGATTTTCGTCTCGATCGCTTTTACTAGTTTATCCATGTTAATCTCGTCCCATCGGGGGTGCCACTTGTCGGGATTTGCTTGCCCAACACAGAAATTTACTCTCACTGTTTCGTTTTAGAAGTATTTATTGTCACTCTCGCTTTAAACAATTACAATGTGCTATCGAATGCTCTACCATGCTGTACCCTTTTTTTTTCTTCTGCAAGTGTTGTTGTTAACACTACCGGTACGAACCGACCATTTCCGACTTTGGTCTCGCGCGACCCACGCGTTAACTAAACTGTTTATCCTTTCCGACAGTGAAATTGTTCCTATCCCGCTGGCAGAGCTCACCTCTCAACGCACGTACTCCGTACTGCTCGAAAAGTCTTTGGCACCCCATAAAGCCATTGGGAAATTTAGAAACATTCAAATTGATGTCCACTGGCCATCTGTGTGGCGCTCCTTTCCATTATGGCGATTTGTTCGCTCAGTTGCTGATACAAACTACTATTACTTCCATGACCGCTTGCTCCGGTTTGGCATGGAAGTAGATGGGAACTGTTTTTGTGAAGAGGAGGAAACTGGTGTCCATCTTTTCTGCAACTGTCCTGTTGCCACCACCATTTGGGACTGGCTTACCCCTCTTCTGGTGTCCTTGGACCTACCCACTCCCCTTACCATCTCCACCATCCTCTTTGGTTTTCCGGAAGCAACAAAGACCCCTGCTGCCGTGAATGCCTTATTGGGCATTGTCCGACATCACATGTGGCTTCACCACAATCGATGCAGGTTTCACCGTCTTTCTCCCGATGCCTCCTCAGTATTGCGGATAGCGAAGTCTACCTTCCGATTTGCAGTGAAATTGGAACATCGCCACTGTCTCTTGACAAAATTCGAAGACTGATTGCTATGTGGCTTGGTTGGCACCATCGCTAAAGACAACAACGTATCCTTTTCTAAGGATTTCATGTCTTGAATGTCGGTAATATGTGGGACGGGTCGCCTTTACTGGTTGTACTGCCGGATAGCCCGTTCGTAGTAAGTCGTGTAGATTGCGTAAGGGCAGCTTCATGTCCTTTACAACATCTTGTCTCGTCGTCTTTTTCGTTCGTTTTGTCAAAGTTCTGGCATTTATGCCGGAGCTTAGTATCGTCGAGAGATCCTTTTCTCTCCATTTTTGTTCTCTGTTGGTTTTGTCCACCGGGGAGAGGTTCACAACCTCTGTCGATCTTCGTCGCTTGTAGCGGCCTCCCTGAGTGTACCGGTCTTGCACGTATGGGTTCGTCGTCATTGCACACCCCGACTTCGTAACCTAACCGGTCCCCACCCAAAACCAGATCAAGTGTAGTCGCAAACAGACACGGTGACAAGTCGAGATATGCTGTTTCGAGTCTGCGCGTTGTGATCGTTCGTATCGTTATTTGGTAATTGTCTTCAAAATCGTGAGTTTGTTCCTCGTTTGTAAATTGTTGTTATTTGTAATTCTGGTAGTCCCTTATTAGGGGGCCCATTTATGGGGCAAACGAACGGGATGGGGTCTTTTCTCTGTTCTTGTTGTTAGGGTCTAGTCGGGGGGTGGTTTGGCCATCTTCTGACACCTTCAGTGTTTGTTCTTTTTGGTATTTTCGTGTGTTGTATCGCCATTTTGTTATCGGGAAGCTTTCTTCCTCGACTTGCTAAAGTGAAACTACAAGACTTCACTTTCGATTTATATTGCTATTTTGTTCTGCTATAAGCAAGAGCTATTATACACTGTGTGTGTTCGGGTTAATATCATTACTCAAACGTTTATTTGCCGAACGAATCGATCGTTTGGACTTTAGACTTTGGACTTTGATTGGGCGTTATTCTATAGCTTCTCGCTCGATTAGTTCTATTTTTCTATTTTGCTTTAACGCTGATTACTACTATTCAGTGTTGTATTTATCTTGTGTAATTTGCTTGAACGTTTGCTGTTCAAGTTTGTATAATTACTTCTACTCTTCGCGAAGCACGTTGCTAGTCTGCTTCGTTTTTTGCCTTGCTCTACTGCTAGTTTGTTACTAAACTAGTGTATTCTGCCTCTGCCTTTCTTGTTCTACCGTGAACTCAGTATTCGCTCGTGGAATTTTCTTGCTATTTTGTATTTGCCATTGTATATCTAAGGGGCGTTTATATAATCTTTGTGGGCGTAGTCGAGCGTATTTGATTCCTAGATACGCTACTATCTTACGTGCTTCTACACTGGTTGTTATTATTACACTGTTGTAAGTGTGCTGTTAACATTTCGCTTGTATTATTTGGTCTGTTTGACCAAAGACGTTTCTGCTTTGGGCGTTTTTCTGTATTAACGTCTCCGCTTGTTTGTATGACCGAATGCATCACTGCATGCATTGATAATTAGTCATACGCCCTCATTTACAAATAATCCTAATAAGTAATAATTTAATAAGTAAAAAAAATATCCTAATCATACCGTACGTGCCTCTTTTTATGAAGGGAAATTATCCTTGTCACAGCGAACAGGTATGATAACAATTTTATACAAAAAAGGTGACAAACTGGACCCCAAGAATTGGCGTCCAATAACTCTGGTCTGTATGGATTACAAAATATTATCCAAAGTTCTCACTGGCCACTTGGCCAAGTTTCTCCATAATGTCGTATCACCATGCCAGACGTGTGGTATCCCGGGACGTTTTTCGGGCGAAGTCGTGCGCCTGGTACAAGACTGTTTAGATTTTGCAAACTCTTCAAACCTTGGTGGAGTTTTACTATCTCTCGATGAAGAGAAAGCTTTGATTACCAAACAAAGCAAGTAGAGTTGATTGGGACTTTTTACAACAAGTTTTAACCTCCATGAATTTTGGACCTTCTTTCCGTGCTTGGATCCGTCTGCTTTATAATACTTTATATTCCCGTGTATTAATTAACGGTGCTCTCGGGGGTCCTTTTTCTATTTCCTGGGGAGTACGGCAGGGTTATCCCCTTTTGCCCCTCTTGTACGTTTTGGCAGCAGAACCGATCTCGCGTGCCATTCAAGATTCGACGGAGATCGACGGATTCCCTTTACCATGCGAGAACGAGCCAAGGTCCTCCAATATGCAGATGACACCACTTGCTTCGTCATGTCTGATTCTAGCCTGCGTGCTCTATTGCAACTTTTTGAACGATATGCTAATGCTTCGGGAGCAAAACTAAACATCGACAAGACTGAAGGCTTGCTATTTGGTACATGAAAATCAAGAACGGGGCTACCTATTGCTTTGAAATGGTCCTCAGAATCTCTAATAATTTTGGGACGTTGCGTCGACAATTCCATCCTGTCTGATTGGGACAAACTAATCTCAAAATTTAAAAATAAAATAACTTCGTGGTCTTTGAGATCCCTATCTCTCCAGGGTCGTACGCTCCTTGCAAATACTATGGGACCAGTATTTTCTGGTACCAAAGAACAATTTCACTACATGCCCAAGGTAGTGGTACATTCTATCAACAAAATACTATTCCAATTTATTTGGAATAAACGTAAGGAACCTGTAGCACGCAGCTCTGCCGTTGCTCCTCGTCTTCGGGGGGGTTTGGGTGTTGTGCATGTTGGCACAAAAATTTTGTCACTGCGTGCAATCTGGCTACGATGTTTATTGCTCTCGCAATACACTATTCCTTGGCCTTCCGTATTCTCACATTATATATGCAACGTTTTTAAACAAGATTTGGATATTTTCTTTGCACGGGAAACCATTCCCGCCTATCTCATCCAGAAACTGCCAAAGTTTTACCAGTCCATGATGCACACGTGGATGCAGTTGAAAGGACAACGAGAAGATACTTCGTGGTTAGTAGGGAACAATAACACCGTTCCTATTCCGCTCGCTGAGCTCACTGCTGGGCGCACGTACTCAATATTGTTGGAAAGTTGTCTGGCTCCTCATAAAGCCATCGAAAAATTTTCTACCATGAAGATCCACGTCCACTGGACATCTGTGTGGCGCTCGCTCCGTCTCTGGAGATTCATCCGCTCGGTAGCAGATACCAACTATTACATTTTTCATGGCGCCCACCGCGGACCGCTTGATTCATTTTGGGATGA